TACCAATAGATGTCACTTTGCTTCAACAACTTGTAGGATTCGTCCTCGCCAAACCCATTCCTCGAGACACACCCCTCTCAGCTGCAGTGAACGGAACTGCAACTCATCGAAGAATAACACGAGACCTCATTTATACACCGGTGGATCGTGGAGTATGGAGTCTGCAAAAAAAGTTAGATACGTATCGATCTATCTTCGATCGCTCAGGAAGGCGGAGTCAGTCAACACGTACCCAACTTTGGCGCTATCGCAATTCACGGTAGAAGTGGCTATGTGGACTTGGGGAAGTCGGTCTTAACATGTCACGACACGTCACACAACGTGTTTTAACACGTAAGGGACAGTCCGTGTCCAACGACTAGGCTCGTATAATCATTGCTACCGGGGATGTGGCAAGAGAATCGTAATTCGCCGCGCCAGTGGGCGTCGCGTGCGACGTCGCGCCTGCTAATGACGACGATTTTAGGTGGTTGGTCGAGAATAGACAATGTATGACCAAAAATAGACATAAGTGTCTACCATGTCCTTGTCTACATGAAATCCGATGCTCCAATCGAAAGGGTAGTGCAAATTAAGGAAACGTCGCGCCCATTGCCGCGCGCGACGAAGCGGCAATTTACGATTCTCTTGTCCGTCTCCCATTGCTACCATTGCATGTCATTTGACGCGTTCACTTTGCCACCGACGTGTCAAAACATGTCACGCAACGGTCTTTGAGGTAGGACAACTAGTCCGCAATTCACCTAATGCATTTTCCTGAGTGATCATTGAAAGATGGACTGGCCGAGATGGCACGAGCACCGAAGTCAACACTCGCGGCTTCACGTAGGCTGACAATTACCAAATGTTTACGGTCAGCAACTGAACCGGACGAATTGTTCAACTGACCAATTGAAGGCAAAACACCTAATACGTAAATGGCAATATGATCGCGCCACACTACCGCATCTCCTACTGCGACTGCGATTGTCAGGACACGTCGCACGTTGGAGATCCTCAGCGAGGAGGGAGGGATGGGGTCCTACACGGTTGCGGTAAAGAGGGAGGGGAGGGGCGTACTTGCCCGGGAAAAAAATTGTGGGCTTTCCTCGATTTCCCCTGTTTCAAGCGTGCTTATACAATGCCTCCCCCCATCCTCGGTCGACGGCAGTTTTTTTTTCTGGAGAATCTAAAAATCTTTTTAGAGAATTTTTCCGAGGGCTTCGAAATAACAAAAACTCCAAAAAATGATGAGAAGTTGGAAATTTCATTAACATGTAGTTAAAGTAAAGATAAGTGGTGCAGCACCGGAAGGGCAAATTGTGGGGGGGGGTCGTATTTCGCGAAAAATTTCCCCAACAGCGGGACGTGACCTGGCGAAAGTGCTCCCATTTTTTTGTTGGCTTTTCCATTCTCCAGACAAATCCGCATTAATTTTTCACGGGTTTTCCACATCCCTCGATTTTCCACGGCCGCAAGGTGAACACGATCTAACAACGACCCCCAAGCATTGCTTGAATCATTGCTAGAATCCTCTAAAGTAAAAGCAGGAGCTACGCGAAGAAAAGATTGAAGCTTTCCAAAGACTATCTGTTTCATTTCGAATTATTCGAGGAGAACCCTATCTTGTTTTCCATGCAACGAAAATGATGGGATACCTACCTACCAACCAGTTAGCCTAAACAGAGCCAAAACCTCTTTTGAAATAACTCAACGACTGTAGTTGACTAGAAATAAACTGAATATTGAATGAGCCATAAAGGCACAAAAAGTATCGAGTTGGGCGATGATGACTGCCAGATGACGAAATCGCAGGAAAGATGAGTGAATAGAATTCTAGTCATGAGCAAGTTTGACGAAATACCTGCACGACAGGATGATTCACAGGGGGTGCCACTGAGCAGGACCCAACAAATAGTAGTAGACTGATAAATTTAAAAGAACTCTTGGAGGAAAACCAAGCGAAGAGGACAGGATGAGGAAGGCCGCACACGGCGTGCAGCCGGTGCAGACTGATTGAGCGCCAATGAGACTATTTCGAATTGAAGACTGCATGACAGCCCGCCGAAAACGCCGCCGCCCACGTTGAAGGGGTTCCACGCAGTTCCTGCCACTTTTGGCAAATGTTCAGCTGATTGGGCGACAGGGCGCGTATTTTTCTTGTGGAATTTGGTGGTCCGTTCTTTGGGGGCATTGATTCTGCTCATATTATTGAATAAGGGAGTTTAAATTGTATTGAGACAACACTAAGTTGCAGTACATTTGCTAGCGCGCATATCGCAATAGATTGGCAAGGGTTCTCGGGTGAATGTTCGTGAATTCGTGGGTAATTCCTGTCAGAAAAGACGAGGGATTATTTTTTTTACCATTATTAGATTCTCAGGCAAAAATCTTTGGGAAAGGTCCCGCGAAAATACAGTACTTTTGCCAAAATTAGAAGCTTCACCGTAAACCTCGTTTGTCTTTCTTGAAGCCTACACATTTGCCTTCTCAACAAATCAGTGATATGGATACATAGCCAATATTTTTCTGACAAGTAAGTTTTCGATGGAATTTTTTATGCTGGAACGTCTGATCACGTAGTCAGTATTTTTGAGACAAATAGTTTTTGTAATTGTTATTTATGTCGAAACGTCAGGTGTAACAAAGTTTCCACCATAAAAAAAAACCTGTTTGGTACAGAAGCAATCGATCCCACATGACGAGCTTTTGCTGGGAACCAGCGACATATTAAAGGTTTTAAAGGTTGGGACGTTTTAAGATGCGCTAAATGAGTCCGATGCTGCTATGCTGTGTGCTATGCTGATGTCTGATCGAAGAAAATACGAATTGGACCTTTTAAAATGGGGTGCTTCCATTTTACTCCTTTGTTATCATGAAGTGTTGAACGAACAAAAATGGTCCGTCCACCTGCGTTAATGTTATACCGGATTTTTAATTGGACATTATATTCGTTACATCTGTATCTATTTCGTCTAATTTGCTTTTTTTGGTACATTAACTTTGAATAATATTTTAGAAGTCACAATGGGTAAGAAGGAAAAGCACGTGAAAAAGGATGTTGGGGTAGGTTACTTTTGTTGTCTTGTTTCATTTAGATTTTGAAACCTTTCATTATTTTATTTCTGTATCTCTTTCACATTTCATACCCTGGAAGTGGACAGGGCGTAGCTGCATTCTTCATTTGAACCTAATATGGGATGCATTTTTCGTGAAAAACTTCTATTTGGCAATTGTCATCTTTTTCGCGCTGTGCAAAGGCACTATTACACTTGTGGTAACGGCATTGTCCTACCAGTAGAGCAACTAAGGCCACGTTCAAATGAAGTACGCGGCCACTCCCTGCCAATTCTGAGATACGAAGCATATTTGTCCAGCTAGTTGCTTAATTCTAGTTCACCTAGTTTACTGTTTCGATCCTATATGCAAGAGTCGTGTAATAGCAGTAGTAGGTATTGAGGAGCTATCCATTGCCACGGGTTTATTTGCTTATTTGTTTGATGCAAACGTAGGTGCGTTATACAGTTCCTTCAAACTGTTTATTATTTACAATAGCATAGGCACAAAAGTTGGTAACAACTCTAGAGAAAACCACTGCAACAGAAGGGGCGCTTGGCTGCCTACATACTTGGCGGCCCGAGCGCCTATCAACGCCAGCGACTAGTAAGACGTCCACCAGCGTCTAGCGAACGCCAACGTCCACCAGCGTCCAAGGTGGAGGTATTGGGAAGTAGGAGGGTAGCAGTCTGCTGGTAGAGTACGGGGATGCAGGAGGGAGCGGACAGCTGAGTTAGGCGTCGTGAAATTGCGGCGTGCAACCGCACCGTACAATACACTACACCGTACATCAATATTGCATAAATCCCTTAGAGTTACACCCTCCATTTCTTCAGCTTTTATCATTATTTTCTGTCTTGTATTTCACTTTTTTCATTTTTTTCGATCTTAAACTTCCGTGAGAAGAGTTCTAGATGTTGGAGTTTTCCAGGAGGAGCAGGAGCAGGGTACATTCCATCTCAAACCATCAACTGCTGAACCAAGCCTGAAATCCCAAGAATGGCCGCTGTTACTGAAGGTTTATTTACTCGTTTCAGTGTTATCTGTAGATTTTTTAATTTCTTTTGGTAAGCTACAATAGATATCGTCGCATTCGGGCGTGTGACGGTGTCAGGAGGTGTGGAATGGGCACACCCGCGACGTTTTCTACCTTTGGTTGTTTTCCTACCTGTCGGCCACCATTGGTGGACATTGCAGCCGCGGATGGGCTCACTCCACCTCCTGACAACGACTCACCGGATTACGATTATATAAAACAGATAATTTGCAGAATTTCGACAATATGAATGTGCGAACTAACCATTATACTCCTCTCCCTGAAGGGTGTTCTCCATTAAAAAGAGAAATCAAAAATTATATTTCGTCTGGGTTCTTCAATTTGGACAAACCGGCGAACCCATCGTCACATGAAGTTGTGGCGTGGATCAAGCGCATCCTTCGCGTTGAAAAAACCGGTCACAGTGGCACTCTAGATCCCAAGGTTTGTTTCTGGCTTCTTTCAAGCGATATATGCCCCAAATATCGTTTTTTTTTTCTGAAAGTATGTAGTTTTAGGTGTCTGGCTGTCTAATCGTTTGTATCGATCGTACAACTCGCTTAGCAAAATCTCAACAAGGTGCTGGTAAGGAATACGTCGCCATCTTCAAGCTTCATAATGCTGTAGAAAGCGAAAAGAAGATAAAACAAGCGCTGGAAAAGGTAAGCGTTCTTCAATAATTTTGTATGTCGTAGGTCCCATCTCGCGGCGAATGAGACGCTGTAAGAGGGGGAGGGTCGTTCGCCATGACCATACACATTTAACATTGTGTTGTGCCAATCAACTAGAACCTGACACACTATGCCAGTTTGCACGCGATTCCGCGATTCGGGACAAACGAACTACAGCCTGTAATGGTTGTTCCTGTTGTTTTTCACGCATCAGATTAGAGTAGTAATTTCTATTTACACAGGAATCTTTTTTAGTTAACCGGAGCGCTCTTTCAACGTCCCCCATTGATCTCAGCCGTAAAGCGCCAGCTGCGTGTGAGAACCATTTATGAGAACAAGCTTCTCGAATATGACAAGGAGCAGCAGATGGGAATTTTCTGGTGAGCTTTCTATGATTGACTGCTAGAGAATGCGCAAGCTGCACAAGTGCGGGAGTGCAGCTCAGCTTTTGTTTGCTTTTATTTTCTGAGTAATTTATTAAACTGACACTCAGCGACTTTCCAAGAGCTCATTTGAGTCACGACGACAAAGAAATACCTCGCCGTATTCTGTAAATTCGTTGGCCTAAGTGTCTGAGTGCTAGTTCAGTTGGGGGAACTACGCAGCGACGCGATCAAGCCCACACCTCATAGTGGCGAGAGGAAACAACGTGACTTTTGAACGCCTGTTCCATGTTTCTGGGGAAGAGAAGGGATCAAACCCAGTGTCTGCCCCGTCTCAACTGCAGTAGCCTTGCTGAGTATTGGGCCTTCAAATTCCCATACCTTCAAATTTGGGTGGAGCACCTTAGCCGAGTGACCATAATTCTGTTTGCCATTTCGGGAGGGAAAGTCATAACAAGAGAAAATGTCTCGAATTATGGGTCGCAATCGGTCTCTAACCTTTCGTTCCTCCTCCCTTCTCGCTCCAGGAGATCACATTTCGAAGGCAAACGCTGGGAATATTGATCTTGTTTTCGTGCGATCGTTTGAGTAAAGTTCTCCATACTGCTGGAAACTATCCTAACCACAAAATGGGAGTGCGCTGCCTGAAATGAGCCGTGTACTAGCCGATGGGTCTTCGGACCGGGATTAGGCATTGTTCACATTCTGCGACCCAGCGCTTCTCTAGAAAGAAACGCTTCGGCGAAAAGCCTTTCGATACGTATCGACGGGCGGTTCGGCGGAGCGGTTGGGCGAAAAACGCTAGCCCGACCGCCTGGCGTTTTTCTCTAGGGCGGAGCCAGCGAAATCGATACGCATCTATTGCTTTTCGCCGAACCGCTGTTTCGTCAGGGTCGCAGACTGTGAACAATGCCTTACGAGTCTGTCTCCCATACCGCTTTGGACCTATCATACTGGAGTGGTGGAGGCTTTTCTAAAAGAGGCATAACATCAACAGAAATTTTGCGCG